TCATTGAGCCCAAACTCTCATAAGACACACACACACACAGTGATCTCTCATGACAACACACACATCATGTCAGACCAACCAGTTTCTCAACCTCTTTATGTACAATCCAGGATCACGTTACACTAAACACACACACACACACACACACACACACACACACACACACAGACACAATTGGTTATTTGCCTTCAGGACGGAGAACATTATCCCTGTAAGAGACTTTTATAGCATTGCGTAAAAGAAAGGGTGTGCTGTAGATTTTATATGAGGTTTTATCATGTGGTGTTTATTGTGTGAACCATTACAGAGGTTTACAGTAAACCACACACACACACACACACACACACATGCATATCCAGAGTGGAACACAACAACAAACCTGAACTTAAATAGCAAAAAACTGTGAACTATAATTGCCCTGAGATGTGTGTGCGAAATCTGACAAACCTCGAGGTCAAAAATGATTCATTAATAATGTTCTGTTCTGTTAGTCTGTAGTTAATATAATTAACTTAAAGTCGTGATGAAACAGATCTTCCGCATTGTGATTATTGGAAAGGAGAGAATGTGGGGCGGAGACATGGCTCTATACGGAGGTTGTTGATTGGTTTGTGAGATGTGGGCGGGGCTTTCAAAAACGGAGGCGGGTCTGAATGCGAGTCTGCAGTGGGTTTGAAGAAAGGGGCGGGGCTTAAGTGAACTAAACGAATGGAAAAGTGAAGTATGTCGTTTCACAGGAAAATCGTAATGATATTTTGATCAAAAATGGAGATTAATAAACATGTACTCATGGAAGAATCGTTCAGTTAGATCAATAACATCCATTTCGAAAATATGATGAAATTCATTTCACGCCAACTTTAAAACAACTCTATCGAATGTCTAATTTGAAGTCGAGGTTTTGTTTTTATTTTAACACGCAGAACAGGTTAAGGGTTAAGGTGTGGGCGAGTGTACAGAAATGATAGCTTTATATATAAACAATAAAAGTGTCGGTATGCCCTCAGTTCGCTACAGGTGTGAGTCAGCTTATCTTTCAGGAAACATTTCAAATTATGTGCACAATCCACCAAAACCGGCTAATTAAGTGCTAAAATGAGGTCAGCGCCTTCCTTTCCTGAAACACAAGGCCAATGTGAGTGTGTGTTTATGATTATGGGATTCTTCCTGGTTTAAATGTTGACCAACAGGCTTGTTACCCAGTAACTGAAGCTCCAGAGAAACGTTCTCCGACTGAAGCTCGATACCCATGATCGTTCGTCTGGCACAAACAGCACACTAAAACACACACGCTTCACGTCTTTCCTGTTGCTAAAATATACACAGGAAGAAGAGCATTGAGTCATTTGTATGTTGAAACAGAGACATGCGAACTTGCTCGGACGCTCTGCTGTTCCTCAAGAATGAAGAAGACGTCCTTATCTATCATAGCATCATAAAGCATAGCCTATATATGAGCTCTTTCCCATCATGGCATCATAAAGAAATACAAATGAGCTCCGGATCAGCTGCAACTTCACAGTAAACGCAGATATTCACATATTGTGGCGTCAGAAGTGTGTTTAACAGAAGGGCTGGACCATCTTTGCACAAGCTCAACTTTTACAAAACAAATTAGCAAGAGTCACTGTGAAGACATAGCCTACATGTTTACTTTACTTAACTAAATGAGGACATGCCATAGTATCTATAAATTATATTATTAATTACAACAGACTATCAAATAATTATATTTCTATGACTTCTGTTACAGTAATATATATATATATATATATATTCCACAAAAACACGACATATTCAACAATTGTGTTTTTTTTAAGCCTAGAAATGAATACAATAAAAAATCAAATTCAAATCTTAAAAAGTCTTGGAAAATTCTATAGGCCTATATATATATATTCTGAAATATTTTAGAGCTCAGGAACTGGAAAAAAATACTATGGATTCACTATATACAATTTTACAAGACTTTTTAAGATTTTAATTTATTATTATTGTTGTTTAATTTAATATTTTAATTTGCTTAATTTCCAGGCTTTAACACACACCTGCTGAATTCCCTGATATGATCTTGTAAACTTTGTTTACTATGAATCATTTTTCAACTTGAGGAAGACCCCAGATCGAGGTAAACAATGAAATATAACACATCACGGGCACTGTCTATCATATATTGATTATGGGGTAAATATCGAAACTCTCAAACACGCATGAAATAATCAGTCTGTTGCATTATAGCGTTATTCTCCAGAGAAATGCTCCAGTTGTCCTCAGAAATACACCCATAGTGACAGTTGTCGCATTCAGAAACTGTCTTACCATACTCCGAGTTGTTTTGCTCTTCTTCCTCTCGTTTCTTTCCGCCCATCTTTTCACTTTTCGGTCATTTGTTTAAAGTAGCAAACGTGTTTTGAAGTCGAGCTGTTTCACTGCATCTGACGCGATACAGCCCAGTCTCGGCACCCGGGTTTAGTTTCAGAGCTGCTGTATTGTCTGTAAATCTTTAGAGTAACTAAGCGCTGTGATGACGACACACACGACACCTGCCGCTGCGCGCACCTCTGGCTCACCTGCATGCGCGTTCACGCTCCCGTGCACGTCCTTCGCACGCGCGCGCGTCCTCTACCGGTGGCTGTTTATTACAGCAGCCAGCAACTTGTGGAGAAAAGTGAGTTCAGGTTTCTCTGTTAAACTGTATTTTTGTCAACTATTAACAACGTTTTAAACAAAACACTGATATTTATTTTCCGGTTTCTCTGTTAAACTGTATGTTTGTCAACCATTAACGACGTTTTAAACAAAACACTGATATTTTTTTTCAGGTTTCTCTGTTAAACTGTATTTTGTCAACTATTAACGACGTTTTAAATAAAATAAAAAAACGGATTATGATAGATCTTTAATATAGTGACACATACATGATTAAATAATAATACAACATACATAATACAAATAAATAAATAATGATATGTCATGCGTTTATCCTGTATAAAGGTGCGGTCACGTTTACTGTTGTTCGCTCGGCGAATATGCGATCGGGAATCTCGCGTGAACACGAACGATTTCGCATCGTATTCAGTGGCTCTCCTGAAATAGAAAAGCAGCTCGGTTTGAAAGTTTCGCAATTTTGCTTAATGTAACACATAAATGAAAACGCTGTCTACATAATTCACATTTTACCTTTATGTGTAAATATACTCTCTATATTTACATTTCTATATGTTTTCCAATATAAATAGTATGTAGCCTAACTCGTTAAGTTTAAACAAAAGAATTATAAATTACAACTGGCATAGTTTCTGTTTGTAATATTATTTTATCATTAGCCTCATATCAACATAAAAGACTGATGACCGTTGTTATTTCTCTATAGTAATACTGACTCTTATCAGTCATGACGTCATGACTCATCACTGTCTGTAATGACACACTTAAAGACTGAAAATGTAGGTCAGCGCATGGAAGAAGAATATGAAATATCTGAACACACTTTCCACAGAAACACCATCTACAATTCCAGAGAATTTTTTTAGGCAGCGGCTATTTACACCAAGTCCATATAGCAATAGCTTCCTTATTTACATTAAGTGCATATGAAAATAGCTTCCTTATATTTACACTAAGTGCATATACTAAAGGCTTCCTTCTATTTACACTAAGTCCAATAGCTTTCTTATATTTACACTAAGTGAAAAGAGAAGTATTTTCTTAGTGATATGCTATTTACACTAAGTGAAAATAGCGACAGATTACGTTATATTTACGTTATTTCATATTTCGCTCTTAATGTAGTCTGTTTATAAACGGTTTCTATCTACCACAACTGTTACAATTACGACCAAAACAAAAAAAGCATTTAATCTTAATCTGTTTCGTTGAACCGGGCCTCCGAATAGCAAAGGCCCTTCAGGAGTGTGTGTTTCGTAACAGAAAGAGAACTAAACGTGTTGATCTTGTTTTGCTTTCCTTGTGTGTTCCACTTCTCCTGTGAGTAGTTTGTCTGCTCAGTGTCTTTATTTCTTTATGGTTCGAGTAATGTAGGGTGAGGATGCTGTTTTTATGTTTGTAATCCTGATTTTCTCCTGTTAACTGTTAGACAGGGAGAGAGTTTAGTAATTTATTAATCTATTTTTAGGTAATATAAAGAGGTTTCCCGGTTAGTTATTTGTGTTGGCCATGTCCTCTCCTGAAGCTATTTCCCCCTATTTCTATTATTAGTTCTGTTATACGTATTGCTACTTTTGTGTTTGATGCCATTCTTTATAACTTCAAAAGAAAAGTGATTTTCATTGAAACTGTGGTTGTGTTGTTGATTCTGGGACAGGTTTATTTTTCTTTACTTTGTTACTGGCCTTATAAAAAAACAGCATTTAGCCGGTTTGTTTGTTAGCCGGGATGGTCCCACTTCACATGATAATTTATGATTTTACACAGTATTAAAAGTCCAGCAATAAAAACCAAACTATTGCATTTGATTACCATGGTAAATTGTTGAAAGTGATTTCACATTGCTGGAGGAATCTTTTATGACGAGAGCAACAAAAAGGAAAAGACATTTCTGTATCAAACAGTATTTATTAAAACAATTACACATACAAAAAAAGCTCATGGTATTTAATGAAAATGGAGAGTATTAGTGATCAGATGACGGTCGGAATAAAATCATGTTTTTTTTTTACTTTTCCCCTCCTGATCCGAGCAGGAATGACAGCCGTGTATTTGAATGCTTCTTCCTGGTGGTGTTGTGGAAAGGCATTGGCTGATGCTGAACTGTGTCCCGTCAGATGAAAGAAATGAATCATGTGTAGATGCAAACACTAGCGCTAGCGTGATAAGCACACGTCGTCTCTGTCTGAGAGCGGTTCATCTGTCGTTACGGGTTTCATTACGAGCGTCCTAACACCGGAGGACCGGCTTCATTTCATTCAATGAATCAGTTGCAGATGCAGATGTTTGAGAGCTGTCCATGTGTCACACAAGCGTGGTGTTTGAGAGTGTCATTACGAGTGTGCTAACACCGGGAGAGCGGCTTCAGCGCCCGGGTCCGCACACATCTCCAGACGGGACAGCCGGTTCTGCTCCAGCGCGATGGCCTCCGCCGAATGTTTGCATTTCTCCGAGCCGCACTGACAGGTGAAGTACTTGCTCTTGATGTCCCAGAAACGATCGCCGTAATCAAACCTGTTAGAGAGAGCAGACGCGCTCACAAAACATATCGTTAACACTTTACAATACGGTTTCTTTAGTTAACATGAACTAAGAATGACCTGCACTTCTTCAGCATTTATTAATCTTAGTTAATATTAATTTCAACATTTACTAATACTTTATTAAAATCATGTGAACTAACATGGCCTCACAATGAATAGCTGTATTTTTATTAACTTATATTAACAAAGATTAATAAATACTGTAACAAATGTATTGCTCATGTTTAGTTCATGTTAGCTAATACAAATAACTAATGTTAACTAATGAACCTTATTGTAAAGTGTAGCCAACATATCAACAGGAACACGATGCAAATATGTCAAAAAATTCCTTGCGATCAAGACGAGCCGCCAAAAGCCATGAAGTCAGAAAGCAATCAGGCCTCGTTTACACTGTCAGTCAAATGTGACCCAATTACGATATTTTCCTCATATGTGACACAGATCGGAAAAAACGCATGCATTCGGATATTTCAAGATCGGTTTCAGGCCTCGTTCATATGTGGAAATAAATCAGATATAAATCAGATATGTGCCAATGCGACTGTCATGTAAACAGGCAGATCGGATTTTCTGTGGCATTAGGCAACGAGAGCAACCCCGACACGCATCTGCAAAGGGACGGATGGCCCGACGAAAAGTTTTTGCGTGTGCATATGATACACAGTTTTTGCGTGTGCATATGATACACAGTTCTTGCGTGTGCATATGATACACAGTTTTTGCGTGCATATGATACACAGTTTTTGCGTGTGCATATGATACACAGTTTTTGCGTGTGCATATGATACACAGTTCTTGCGTGTGCATATGATACACAGTTTTTGCGTGTGCATATGATACACAGTTCTTGCGTGTGCATATGATACACAGTTTTTGCGTGTGCATATGATACACAGTTTTTGCGTGTGCATATGATACACAGTTTTTGCGTGTGCATATGATACACAGTTTTTTGCGTGTGCATATGATACACAGTTTTTGCGTGTGCATATGATACACAGTTTTTGCGTGTGCATATGATACACAGTTTTTGCGTGTGCATATACACAGTTTTTGCGTGTGCATATGATACACAGTTTTTGCGTGTGCATATGATACACAGTTTTTGCGTGTGCATATGATACACAGTTTTTGCGTGTGCATATACACAGTTTTTGCGTGTGCATATGATACACAGTTTTTGCGTGCATATGATACACAGTTTTTTGCGTGTGCATATGATACACAGTTTTTGCGTGTGCATATGATACACAGTTTTTGCGTGTGCATATGATACACAGTTCTTGCGTGTGCATATGATACACAGTTTTTGCGTGTGCATATGATACACAGTTTTTGCGTGTGCATATGATACACAGTTCTTGCGTGTGCATATGATACACAGTTCTTGCGTGTGCATATGATACACAGTTCTTGCGTGTGCATATGATACACAGTTCTTGCGTGTGCATATGATACACAGTTCTTGCGTGTGCATATGATACACAGTTTTTGCGTGTGCATATGATACACAGTTTTTTGCGTGTGCATATGATACACAGTTTTTGCGTGCATATGATACACAGTTTTTTGCGTGTGCATATGATACACAGTTTTTGCGTGTGCATATGATACACAGTTTTTGCGTGTGCATATGATACACAGTTCTTGCGTGTGCATATGATACACAGTTTTTGCGTGTGCATATGATACACAGTTCTTGCGTGTGCATATGATACACAGTTCTTGCGTGTGCATATGATACACAGTTCTTGCGTGTGCATATGATACACAGTTCTTGCGTGTGCATATGATACACAGTTCTTGCGTGTGCATATGATACACAGTTCTTGCGTGTGCATATGATACACAGTTCTTGCGTGTGCATATGATACACAGTTCTTGCGTGTGCATATGATACACAGTTTTTGCGTGCATATGATACACAGTTTTTGCGTGTGCATATGATACACAGTTCTTGCGTGTGCATATGATACACAGTTTTTGCGTGTGCATATGATACACAGTTTTTGCGTGTGCATATGATACACAGTTCTTGCGTGTGCATATGATACACAGTTTTTGCGTGTGCATATGATACACAGTTTTTGCGTGTGCATATGATACACAGTTTTTGCGTGTGCATATGATACACAGTTCTTGCGTGTGCATATGATACACAGTTTTTGCGTGTGCATATGATACACAGTTCTTGCGTGTGCATATGATACACAGTTCTTGCGTGTGCATATGATACACAGTTTTTGCGTGTGCATATGATACACAGTTTTTGCGTGTGCATATGATACACAGTTCTTGCGTGTGCATATGATACACAGTTCTTGCGTGTGCATATGATACACAGTTTTTGCGTGTGCATATGATACACAGTTCTTGCGTGTGCATATGATACACAGTTTTTGCGTGTGCATATGATACACAGTTTTTGCGTGTGCATATGATACACAGTTCTTGCGTGTGCATATGATACACAGTTTTTGCGTGTGCATATGATACACAGTTTTTGCGTGTGCATATGATACACAGTTCTTGCGTGTGCATATGATACACAGTTTTTGCGTGTGCATATGATACACAGTTCTTGCGTGTGCATATACAGTTCTTGCGTGTGCATATGATACACAGTTTTTGCGTGTGCATATGATACACAGTTCTTGCGTGTGCATATGATACACAGTTTTTGCGTGTGCATATGATACACAGTTTTTGCGTGTGCATATGATACACAGTTTTTGCGTGTGCATATGATACACAGTTCTTGCGTGTGCATATACAGTTCTTGCGTGTGCATATGATACACAGTTCTTGCGTGTGCATATGATACACAGTTTTTGCGTGTGCATATGATACACAGTTTTTGCGTGTGCATATGATACACAGTTTTTGCGTGTGCATATGATACACAGTTTTTGCGTGCATATGATACACAGTTTTTGCGTGTGCATATGATACACAGTTCTTGCGTGTGCATACACAGTTTTTTGCGTGTGCATATGATACACAGTTTTTGCGTGTGCATATGATACACAGTTTTTGCGTGTGCATATGATACACAGTTTTTGCGTGTGCATATGATACACAGTTTTTGCGTGTGCATATGATACACAGTTTTTGCGTGTGCATATGATACACAGTTTTTGCGTGTGCATATGATACACAGTTTTTGCGTGTGCATATGATACACAGTTTTTGCGTGTGCATATGATACACAGTTTTTGCGTGCATATGATACACAGTTTTTGCGTGTGCATATGATACACAGTTTTTGCGTGCATATGATACACAGTTTTTGCGTGTGCATATGATACACAGTTTTTGCGTGTGCATATGATACACAGTTTTTGCGTGTGCATATGATACACAGTTTTTGCGTGTGCATATGATACACAGTTTTTGCGTGTGCATATGATACACAGTTTTTGCGTGTGCATATGATACACAGTTTTTGCGTGTGCATATGATACACAGTTTTTGCGTGTGCATATGATACACAGTTTTTGCGTGTGCATATGATACACAGTTTTTGCGTGTGCATATGATACACAGTTTTTGCGTGTGCATATGATACACAGTTTTTGCGTGTGCATATGATACACAGTTTTTGCGTGTGCATATGATACACAGTTTTTGCGTGTGCATATGATACACAGTTTTTGCGTGTGCATATGATACACAGTTTTTGCGTGTGCATATGATACACAGTTTTTGCGTGTGCATATGATACACAGTTTTTGCGTGTGCATATGATACACAGTTTTTGCGTGTGCATATGATACACAGTTTTTGCGTGTGCATATGATACACAGTTTTTGCGTGTGCATATGATACACAGTTTTTGCGTGTGCATATGATACACAGTTTTTGCGTGTGCATATGATACAGTTTTTGCGTGTGCATATGATACACAGTTTTTGCGTGTGCATATGATACACAGTTTTTGCGTGTGCATATGATACACAGTTTTTGCGTGTGCATATGATACACAGTTTTTGCGTGTGCATATGATACACAGTTTTTGCGTGTGCATATGATACAGTTTTTGCGTGTGCACATGATACACAGTTTTTGCGTGCATATGATACACAGTTTTTGCGTGTGCATATGATACACAGTTTTTGCGTGTGCATATGATACACAGTTTTTGCGTGTGCATATGTGTTGATGTGTGTGTGCATGCGACCAGATCGTTTGACAAAAGTCTGGATGTCATATTTCAGGAGAGCGTGAGACGCGGCGCCTGTGGTCTGGATTCTCCTGCTATTAAAAAAGATCGCTATATCATCACATTAAGTTGATAATCAAGGGCGGGTGTTAATGTCAAGCCCTGGATACGCACTTTCATGAGATCGTGTTGTATGTTCCCACCAGTCCTGAGATCTCACACACAATAACTGAAGCACATGCGCTGCAATGACGGCCCTTTTCGTCCTCCTCCGCCTCTAAATCATGCTGATGTTTGGCGAACTTCGCATATATCACAAAGCTAGCATCAAGCATATTTCACGTTCGTCCATCTGTGCAAGAACCCCCTTTAGGCATGCGCGATGTTTCAGATAGTATGTCAAGTGTAAACATGCATCTGAACTTTTGCTGCAAGAAAGAACATTTTGATGTTTTGGATAAGTGAGAAAACTCCTTCAATTAAAAAATGGCACAACCCTGTGAAAGAGCTCATCCCAATGCAATTTTTAACATGTATATTACATTCCTTTACAGATGTGTTCGGTCGGATATGGACACCCTATTTGGACTATCTTTCTCTCACATTGGACGATTGCTTACATTTTTCTTGAAAGCTGTTGTGTTGGCTCAAAACGAGAAGCCTGTGAATGTTTATGTATCTTCCCCGGTAACCTATCTATTTATTTTATTTTATTTTATTGAGAATTGTGCATTAAGGTCTGCCTGAACTGTTTTTTTTTTGCTTTGTTTGTTCTGTTGGAACAAAACTAACAAAATTTCAATAATATTAAAATAAAAATAAAAAACATGAATCTGATATGGGTCACAATTGAAAGAACGTGTAAACGGACGGTAAAAAAAATCAGATATAGGCAAAAAAAAATCTGATTTGGGCATCAAGACCTGCAGTGTAAACGAGATCCCACACAAACTCACCCCAGTTCCTGTCCCGTGAAAATGTCCCTGGAGCTGAAGAAGGCGATGCGAGGGAAGCGCAGGTCCTGGTGAAGCATGAACACGCGCACAGGGATGATATTGGGGTCGCACAGGTGGTTTATAAAGCGGCTGATGTTACCATAGTATCGGGCATCGATACAGTACACTTCACCGTCCTGCGAAAGACAGGGGTATCACAATTAACTACGCTGTTAAAAACATCTTGTAAATGCAGCTCAAATAAATAGGGATGCATCGATGTGAACAATTCGGCCCATATTGATAACCGATAATATTTGAAAGCCGATAACCGATATATATATCGACCGATAGCCTGATTACACAAACAAAAGTCTCATTATTGAAAGACATGTCCCAAACACGTCAACATAAATCACTGCAGAAGTCTAGTTTGAACCAGTGTAAGATTTAAAATTAATTTTACACTCCCATGGACAACTTTGTGATTTATGTTGAAGTGTTTGGAACATGTCTTTTAATAATGAGACTTTTGTTTGTGTAATCAGGCTCTCAAAAATGATATAAAAATGTGGATTTAGATCTATCGGCCAATATATATATCGGTTATCGGCTTTCAAATATTATCGGTTATCAATATGGGCCGAATTGTTCACATCGATGCATCCCTATTTATTTGAGCTTCATTTACAAGATGTTTTTAATAGCGTAGTTAAAAAAAATAAAACATATTTCAAGCATCATGGTGATCAGTGCGCATCTGAAGTGGAAATAAACCATTATTTATCGGCTTTAATATATCAGCCAAATTTTCTTATCGGACCGATAACGATACTATTAAAAATGAAACGTATATCTTACGATACCGATATGGTTGCTGATATATCATGCACACCTAAAAATAAAATAAATATTAGATGAAAAACAAACTGTTGATGTTTAAAACAAAAACTGAAATAGTTAAGTCGAAGCACTAAAATTACTAACTGGAAATAAAAACTACATTAAAACAAACCAAAAAAAACTAAATAGTCAGATTTTAAATAAGGTAACATGAGTAGACTGACTGTGTGCAGATAAAGTTGGACACATTCAATTTTATATAGAGCGGTGCGTTGATATAGTTTTGCAACAGTATAAACAAGCGAGAGGCTGAGATTTGTGTGAGCTCGGGAGTTTCAATGCAAATTTGTGTCAGTGACTTTGCATCGGCCAGAATGAACTGAAATCAGCGTTATGAAACCTTGTTGTCCAGATCAAACAGGTACGAATCATCCTCCCTCACGTCTGCTTCTGCGTCCGAGATCAGCTCGCCGACATACCTGCAGAAACACAACACTATTACAGCAGAAATAACTCCTGAAGAAACCAGACGAGGAGCAGAACAAGCCGAATAACCCAGCTCTGCTTTACACTCTTAAAAAGATCCTTAAGGCATCGCACGCATCCACTCACTCGCAGATGAAACTGCCTTGAGGAATATCTTGAAGCGCTCGGACGCCCCATCCCATCTTCTCCGTGCGGTAGAGCTGCAGACGCACCCTGAAACACACAAGCAAACGGGGCTTTTAAAGGGAAGGGGAAGAACAAACCGACATGCCGCCATTTCCAACAAAATCAGGCCAAAGCGGTTCGTTTGGGAGTTTGAAACAGAGTGCCAAAGTGAGCCTTCCGGGAAAAAGTTCTCTCTGGCTGGCAAACCCCTTCGAACTACCATTGGTCTGTGGTAATGATCTCATTGGTGGGCGTGGCCCCCGAGGCTCCGCCTTCTTTCATGTGTAAATCTTTTCCGGGTCATTTCTTCTGTTTAGTCCATGAAGTCAGACATTCACGAGTTAAAACATGAACAATGAAGAGCCGCTTATTAGTAGAAAATCAAGTTGTGATAGAAGTTGAAAGAGACACTGACACTGTTTTTCATGTTTAATAATGTGTTGTATAAATAAACGTGATGAGACTTTATTGGAGTGCTGAACTATATATATATATATATATATATATAAAAGAAACTAATGTGCATTTGAAAAATCGAGACAATTAGGATAAGAATTATATATATATAATATTAGGGCTGTCAGTTAAACACGTTATTAACGGCGTTAACGCAAACCCATTTTAACGGTGTTCATTTTTTTATCGCGCGATTAACGGTCTTTTTGGCCTAGCAAACTTTGTCGTTTTTTTCACATGCTTTTGCAACAGGACGCGGCATGCGCCGCACGAGGACGTTTTGTTGCTTCGTCGACCAAAGCGCAAGCGGATCTAGCTAGACCGGAAACAAAACAACAGGCACGCCGCACACACTCGTTTGAGTCTGCGAGCCGGCCTAATACTAGGTTAACGTTACGTTTTGAGTGGATGACGAGCGCGAGACGCCGAAATGGATGCCAATAAGATTCTGAATGGAAAGTTTACTTTTAAAAAGTTGCCAAATGGTTCCATTGACGAGACCAAAGTGATCTGTGTGTTTTGTGGTTGTGAACTGAGCTATCATCATCGCAGCACGTCCAGTCTGAAACACCACTTGATGATGGCCAAGCACACACACACACGCACGCACGCACGCACGCACGCACGCGCGCACACGCGCACACACACACACACACACACACACACACACACACACACAAACACACACACGCACACACACGCACACGCACGCACACGCACGCACACGCACACACACGCACACACACGCACACACACGCACACACACGCACACGCACACACACGCGCACACACGCGCACACACACGCACACACACGCACACACACGCACACACACGCACACGCACACACACGCACACACACGCACACACACGCACACACACGCACACACACACACACAGCTGATGCGAATTCTCCGCCCCCTCGTCAATATCAGGACCTCGTCAGTATTTCGTTCACCCTTTTATTGATGGACAGTGTTACATTGAGAGATTATTTGCTCCAAGTGAGAATGTTAGTGTGAAATTGAACACAGCATATGTCAATGTTGTTTTCAATAAAAAACATTTGCACACAGCAAGCCGATCCACTTTTCCATGTTGATAAGAGCATTAAAATGAGAAAAAATAATGGGACAAAAAGAAATCAAGAGACATTTAGAATAGATAAAAATGTGTGATTAATTGCGATTAATCGCGAGTTAACTATGACATTAATTGCGATTAATCGTGAGTTAACTATGGCATTAATGAGATTAATCGTGAGTTAATTATGACCAGTGTTGTGCTAGTTACTAAGAAATAGTAACTAGTTACAGTTACTAGTTACTTCATTCAAAAAGTAACTCAATTACTTTGTTGATTACTTGCACCAAAAAGTAATGCGTTACTGTGAAAAGTAACTTTTTAGTTACTTTTTTAAAGAAAGTTCTTTAATGTTCCCATTAATGCCCTTTTATGCGTTATGGTCTATACAAACACAAAACTGACTTAAACAGAAAGTAATTTTTAAACACTATTTTATTTAAGTCAGACCAGCACAAACTGAATATATCACAAGGATTTCTGAAATAAATAACAAAACAAGCATGTGTAAAGCTAGTGATGTGTTTGCTTTCTCAACATTGATATGTTCATGCAGCTGACAGTAATACGTTTTTACTGCATGAATGAATATTTGAGCAATACAATTGTACCTTGATCATTCTTGTTAGTTCATAGTAGGCTAATTAACTAAGGTAATAACAGATACAATAACAATTTAAACTCAATTTCAAATGTATTAAGTAAATGTTGAAATTAAAAAACTAACAATGAATGATACTTCTACAACATTTATTAACCATATTTAATGCTAAAATTGTAATCTCATTGTAAAGTGTTACCATTTTATATGATTCAAGCTTATAGAAGATGGCCATATTTAAATATCTGCAAAGGCCAGAGCATTAAAATTACATAAATGTAGACCTATATATGTCGCGATTCATGAATTCGCTGTTTCCTTCATGTCTCGTGTTATTGTTGTTCTGTGAGTACGAGCGCGTGTGAGTGGGCGTTACCGCTCGTTCAGCTGATCAGTTCACCGGCTGATCTCATTATCAGCGCCAGCTGCTGTCAATTCATCTCACTATAAAAACTCATCACAAACTCCTCTCTTTGTCAGATCGTTGGTTTGGTGTCCTCTGTGTCGTGCTTCGTGTTCCAGTTGCTGTCTGTTCCAGTTCGAGTTCCTGTTCGGTGTCTTCGTATCCTGTCTCGTCTGATGTTCACCTGCACTGGATTCTCTGTCACCCGCTCTGGTATCACCATCACCTGCACGCTGACCACTGAGTCCCTGCGCCACCATCTGCTGTGTTCCTTGAGATTGTCTTTGTGTCTTCTGACTACTAATAAAGGAGTTAACTTGCAATTGCTTCCGCCCCGTTCTTGTGACAGAACGATCTGACCAACATGGAAGCAGCAAGCGGAACTTCAACTACCTGGGAGGATTTCGTTACAACCAGCATTTCACGGATGGATATCCAGGATAGGAACATGAATGATTCGGGCCGGGCTATTCAAGCTCTAGTGGCGCAGGTGTCCGAGCTCACCCAGCAAGTCCAACTTTTGCGGGTTCCCACTGCGCCACCCACACCGCCTGCTCCTCCCATACCACCAGAGAGCGCCTTCCAGTCAGAGCCCAGACTGCCAGTTCCTGAAGCCTACAATGGTGAGCCAAACTTTTGCAGAGCATTTCTAACACGCTGTTCTATGCATTTCTCCTTGCAACCCAGGACCTTTGCCACAGAACAAAGCAAAGTGGCGTTTGTGCTCACGCTCCTGACTGGAAAGGCAGCTCTGTGGGGGACGGCGGTGTGGGAGAACCAGGATCCATGCTGCGCCTCGTTCCAGACACTCGCCGCCGCCATGAAAGGAGTTTTCGACCGCTCGGTCGCTGGAAAGGAGGCAGCAAGGATGCTAGCGGATCTCAAGCAGAACGAGAAATCAGTATCTGACTACTCTATTGAGTTTCGGACTTTGGCGGCGGAGTGTCATTGGAACGAGGAGGCGCAGTGGGACATGTTCCTGCATGGGCTGGCTGACCGCGTCCAGAAGGAGATTTATGCACTGGACTTACCACCTACCCTCAACGAGTTGATCGATCTGGCACTTCGTGTTGACTCTCGACTCTCCCGAGTCGAGGGTCGGAAGGGACCTGCTCGGGGTTTCGGAACGGTGGAGACTCCGAGACTCAACAGTGTGGACGCGGTCAGCCCTGTCTACAATCACGAGCCCATGCAGGTCGGTCGAGCTCGGCTTTCCCGGGAGGAGAAGGAAAGGCGGAGGTCCCAGGGCCTTTGCCTTTACTGTGGCGCTGCAGGACATTTCGCGTTCAACTGCCCGGTAAAAGGGCAAGCCCGGCAGTAAACCTGAGGCTACTGTCGGGTGGGATCTCCGCTGAGAAGACCTCATCAACATCAACGCTCCTCCCGGTAAGACTCAGGTGGTCAGTTCACACTCACGACTGTCAAGCACTACTGGACTCCGGGGCTGAAGGTAACTTCATGGACTACACTTTTGCACTCAGGATTCAGGTTCCCCTTCTACCCCTCAGTCACACCATCGCAGTGCACGCGCTCAACGGACAAACACTTCCCACTATCTCTTATACCTCTGCTGCCCTACAAAGGCAAAAGACCTTAACTCACCAGAGTGTGAAACTGAGAAAAATGACTTTAAAGTTTTTTTGTTGTCCAGCCAATTGTATGATAGGTAGGACAATGAAAATTTGCCAAGTAGTTGTCATAATGAATATATTTATCTACATTAAAAAATTTTTAGCTCAAACTTGACTTTTGACCCTTATTCGGAAGTTACTGTATTCTGCCTTTGCATTATCTGCAAAACAGTAATGGGCCATACAAAGGCAAAATACCTTAACTTCTAATTTATTGACCATTTTGGCTTTTATCACTTTATACAAACATTTCTATGATAACAATGATAGCCTTAAAATAACATTTAGTAAGTTCTGTCTAGTAAGGGTTAATATTACATCAATAGTTACAAAATATTACAAAATAAAAAAATAATGAGAAAGACCTTAACTCAGAGTGTGGAACTGAGAAAAATGACTTTAAAGATTTTCAGTTGTCCCTCCAAATTAATTATAGGTAGGACACTGTAAATCTGGCAATTAGATGTTTTAGTAATGAAAATTATCTACATAAAAAAATCTTGAGCTCAAACTTGACTTTTGACCCCTATTTTAAAGTTACTGTACACTCTGCCTTTGCATTGTCAGCAAAAAGTGAGAAGTCATGCCAAGGCAAAAGGCAGTAACTTCCACATTATCAATATTTGGTTGCTGATCACCATTAACAAAATCATTATAGTAACACCTGTATAAAATCTAGTGATCATGGCATTTATTTTGTATGATTTACACTTATAGACATCTACTTATTGCTACCCTGTGCTTTGGTTGCATTCTGCTGGCATTATTAATACATGAGACATGGCAAAATACCTCCATAGTGGTAAGATCTTCAATTGGTACCGAGTGGCATAAGACTTGATGAACGCGCGTTCAAAATGATCACGATAAAACAGG